GGCGCTTGATCCTGCCAAGATGAATCGAGGGATTTTAGTTTCTAGAGGAGTTCCCAAAGACGAAGAACTCATTGAAAGTGCTATGTAAGTATCTGTATATTTACCCTCTGTTAACATACGAAAGCAACCAGCTTTAATAATGAAAGATATATTATGAAACTGTTAAATTGCTGCGAGATATGTTAACAGTATATCCTGTATATTTTTTAAGGGGTATATGCGAAAATGAGACTTCGCACTTGGTCATCAACATTCTGAAACCCCTTGCAGAAGGATACTTACAAATTTATCAAAAGCAAGATCGTGATTTCTTTGGCCTTAGAGATTTCTACAGGTAAGGAAATATATTGAGTAGTGAATAATATTCACAACAATTGCGAACTTATATTTATTGCCATCCCAAAACCACCATAAAAAAAAAAATATGAAAATCTACATTTTAATATATTATTATTCCAACACATTGTAAGTTTTAAAATGATGGGTCACTTACTGGAATTGACTACTATTGCCAAAGTTATTAGTAAAAGTATTATTTCCTCTCAGTACTAAAGTATACAATACTGCCATATTCTTATGCTATTATTACTGTACTTGTTTTAACATTTAGCAGCTGTACGCTGTTTTTGGGATGGTAAGCCTCATATACATGCTGTGTCGATCTTCTAAATTCAGTTTCCTGACCTTGGGAATAAACACGATAGGCCTACTGTGTTTTTCAAATGAAAAAAGCTTTAATAAATTGATTTCATTAATTGCAGTTTGATTAAGATGGTAAACCAGTTTGCTAAAAATTCGGGAAAAGAGCCGACTTGGGCAGAAATAGAACATGCAGTCAGACGCAACTTTGGAGGATTACAAACTAATGATCACATAAAAACTTTTAAGAAGAAACTTGAAAGTTATGTGAGAAACGAAAAGGTTGGTTTTACCATAGTCTTTCAGCTTATTGTTACCTATCAGCGTTTGTTACAAATAAAAAGGTGCAAATGCTAGCATAAAAGACATGAGATGGTGTAATAAGCCCAGAACTTACCCAATCAGTTATGATTATATATAAGCTTTTGCGACACTGATGAGTCAATGATCCTTACCAGAATGGGCCACAGGAAAACAAAAATAATATTTCATTAGGTTTTGCATTGTGAAATTGATTAATATACTTTATATCAAACATTGATTGAAACTTGTGTCAACATTACTCTCAGGAAAATAATAGGATTTGGCGAGACATTTTTTGTACCTTATTTCTCTAACCCGCCACCCACCAATATTGATTAATTCAAATAAAAATAAAATTTAATTTTTGGAAAATTAGCACACCCGTTGCTACAAAAAAATGGAAATGTTAGAAAAAAATAAAAGTTTTTCTTTATTTTTATTATGCCTGCCTTAAAATTTTCCAAAATTTAAATATTTCTTCCTAATTATATAAATTTAAAGCATTTATCCATCCCAGTACTACACTGTTTACATTCAACAATAAAATTTTATTTTTATTTTCTCCTCTGTGTGGATGTTTTTGGCAAAACCATTTGCTAAATAAGAAAACAAAATTTAATCTTTATTGTTTTTCTGCCCTCCTCTGACGATCTTTAAACAAATATTTTGGCGAAACAAGGTATAAAACAGTCTCGTCAATACCTGTGTTGGAAATGTTTAATTACAGATGTATTTTTGAAAAACTTCCAACATCACATGTCCTATTTTTTTGTTATCCATGTCAACATTCAATTATACTGTAATTAGGATGACTGGTGTAAAAATAGCCACCACTTATATAATAGGATCATGTACCGTTTTTTCTTAAACTATACTAAGTGCGAACGAGATCCAGATTGTTCACCGTCAGGCCTTATCAAAGCAAGCTTACGTGCCCAGGGACAAACAAAATCAGGAGGGGAAAAGAAAGTAGGCCATGGAACATCAAATGGGTAGGTCTTTGGCAGTTTCATTATTGAAGTTCTATGTGCAAACATTTTGGATCTAAATAACATTTTAGCCTACCATTTAACTTCAGCCATATCAGCCAGCCTTTGTCAGAAGGATTGGTTAATTCGATTGTAGGAAAAGGGTTTGACATGTACCACCAGTGAGGTTGGGTTAAAAATTGGTGGGTTGACCTGGTTAATATTTCTGAAACCTTTCTCAAAGAACAATTACTTGGTCGAGCCAACTGTTATTCTATTGTTGACCTGCCAGTTTTGGTTTTTTGGAAAGGGGCTTACATTTACATTTCCCATGTTATAGCTTATCTTTGCACAATTTGGTTTATTGGGGAACAGGTTTTTTCTTTTTTTTTAAGGACTTTTGAATATATATTTCTAAAAGGAAAATGTTTTTTCCTTCTCAGAGATAGCAGGTATTTGCTTGTGTTGACTGAAAAGTTTGCAGCTCTTTCAATTCTGATGAACATGATGGGAGATGCCATCTATATCTATGGAAGCAGTTTTCCATTTGATCAAGAGTATACTCAAGTAAGAAACAAAAAATGCAACTACAGTATATACGGGTATTTGAAATTAATTCTCTAACGATGGTTAAAAATTCATATTCAATTAAAGCTGACGGTCAACTGGTACTAGCATACTATTGCTAATTGTTCTGAATAATTAGCATAATAATGTGATTGTATTAATAAGTATATTTTTATTTTTAATCTCTGAACAAACAACCGGAATTTGAAACTGTATATTTTACTGTGTTCGACAATAAAGATTGAATTGAGTTGAATAAGAATATGGCATGTATTGTATTACTAGTACAGAGAAGCTGTAATACTTGTACTCAAAACTTTAGCAATATTAAGGGGATTCCAGTAAATTCCATTTTAAAGCTTACAATGTGGACAATAAGGGTATTATTAAAAAGTTTTTCAGTCACTATGGCCATTGCATGGCAAAACAACATAACTTGAAATTTTCACTTTTGGAGAAAAATAGAGTTAAAGTTTGCATGTTCGTATTCTTCACAATAAATTGTCGTAGCCTTTTAAAAAATTTTCAGGATTGTATATCTATAGACATTCTGATTATGTAAAATTTTAATTACAACCATTTGTTCATTGCAAGGTTATTTAATAGCAATAATTACAGATACGTTGTTTTGCCACGGAAACATGTCAGGTTCGGTATTGTTGCAAGTGTGACATATTGTTGGAATTTATTACTTTTGAGGCAATCATATGCATTACCTAGCCTGTTCATACATCACTGTTTAAGATTATTGATATAAAAACACCAATAACCATTTGACTTTGCCTTGCCAAACTCCATCGGCTCTAGACCACTTTTAAATACCATTCCGTGGCAAAACAACGTATCTTCATTGCAGACACTTTGTTTTGCCGCGTAATCTTGTAGTTACGTTGTTTTGCCACTGGATTTTAAGTTTTGTGCTTAAAGATGTGGTGCTATCTCCAGTACGACTCATTATTGAGACCTGAAAGTTTCACAGGTAATTCAGAGGTGTTTAATATACTCCCAAATGATATTGTCTCAAAATCGACAAAAATGTCAGTTACGTTGTTTTGTCTCTTGATGGCTAACTAATACAGGTTTTCTGATGGCAAGCCTCAAATGTAGTATAAGCATGAGACTGGGGTTTAAAGTCCATGCAGTGCATTTTACTTGTACCTCACCTTTAATTTTAGTCAAAATGATAAATGTGTACCTGATATGTTGAAGCATTGATTTTTTGCCAATATTTATTAATCTATTTTCCAGGGTTAACATTGTTGGTGTTTTTGTCATCTATTATCATTATTTTTAGCCCAATAAAACGCAAATATCGCAAGTCTAAGACTTTTTTTTTTTGCAGGAATATACAGTATTATTATAAAAAATAAGAGCCCAAAAGAGTTAATACAGTGTTTCAAAAGTTCCCTTTTTAGGATTTAAATATAGTATTTTGATGTCTTAAACTGGTTTGCGGTTTGTTTTTATCAACGTGAGCCTTTGTGGAGAGCCATGATTAGCACTGTATGTTAAACGCCAACCATCTAGCCCAGTGGTGGATCTAGGATTTAGCAATGGGGGGTGGATAATGGGAGTTGAGAAGGCATGAGGGCGGGGTTTTTAAAAAAATGTTACTGTACTTTGGCTCAGCAAATCATTTTTGCCAATATTCCATTATCATATTTAAAAAAAATAAATATTATGTATTTGTTTAATACTTTCCTTATTTTTACATTTTAACAGGTATGTCGCAATATCAACCGCATTAAGCTTTGTATGGAAGCTGGTAAGACAGTTGTGCTGTTGAACCTTGAGAACCTCTATGAAAGTCTGTATGACGCCCTCAATCAGTACTATGTCTATTTTGGGGGACAACGATATGTTGATCTTGGACTTGGTTCCCATCGTGTCAAATGTCGTGTTCATGAATCATTTAGGTAATAAATTGAAATTGTTTAACCAGACATATAGTTAACTTTAGGCCAATAACCTTGCCCTATCCTGATGTATGCTTTTAATACACAGTCTAATTGGCGTTACTTTATTTCGTTTGCCAGTCAGCTGGCCTTCACAACAGATTTATTGAAGCACAGCTATTAATAAAAATAATGATAATGGTACTGTTGATATTGATATATATTGGTAATTAAAATGGTAATATATATATTGATTATTTTGTTTTTCTTTATGAAGGTTGGTTGTTGTTGCTGACAAGGAGGTTGTACATGAGCAATTTCCAATCCCACTTATCAATCGCCTTGAGAAACACTTTTTGGCTATGAAAACGATGTTGAGTGAGAAACAGCTGAGGGTTGTCGAGAGGCTTAAGCTTTGGGTGTCACGGTTTACAACTATTAAACAACCACGTCATCTTAAGTTAACAATGTACGAACTCAAACTTTATTTTGGTTTGGTTTATTTAGTGCAAAAAACACAATTGTAAATGATTGCTGTTTTATTTTTAAATATAATTCAGAAATTATAAATTATAGATCAAGATCACATCTTTTTTTGTTTAAAATGCTATTTTGATTTTGAGTGTTTTTGATTTAAGGTTTTGTGTTAGGCTTGCTTGAAAATTTGTTGAATTTATCTCTGAATATTCTTATTGTATAAAAATGTAGTTTTAAGGAAACAGATGCATTCGTTGGATACCATGGTGATACAATCGCTGCACTTGTCTACCAAACATTATGTGAGGATGAAGATGAGGTATGGTATCTCATAGATAATTTTGTAATTTTTATTTATTTTTTTTTACTTTTATTTCTTTTGATTTCTTAAAATTACTATTTTGTTTATTGTGAGCTAGTTCAGACTCATTCATGTTTGAACTTTTTTAAGAAATTGAACTTATAGCCTAGACAATAAAATCAACATGCTAGATTGGACTCTGTCCGACTTTGCGTTTTGTGTATTTCAATATTTGCAGTTAAACAAAGTTTATCCGATTGCATTGTATGAACAACTTTAGGCCGATTCACTACAGGAAATCGAATATGGTGTGCAAAAACAGATGAATTTTGTTAAAAAGCATACATCCTGTGTTGTCAATAACTAAATCAAATTAATGTGTCTTCAAAAAGGTGTTTGAGAAAGTTAAGTATCAGTTGTTGACATGTGCTACCCCAGAATCTGTCACCAGATTGATCAAGACAGATATGCCTGAGGATGAAAGAGAAGCAGTAATGAATACTTACTTCAAGGTACAGAAGCATGGATGTCTTGCAGACTATCTAGCTGACGAAATTCAGAAAAATCACTCTGTTGAGGCTACAGGAATTCTTGCCCAGGTATGACTAGTCTATTCACTTTAAAGCTACGTTCACATCAAGCCCGGATTCTGGTCCGGAGTCCGGAGTAAAAATCGTGAAAAATGGGTTCAGTGGTAAAAAATAGGACCGTTCACATCAGATTCGTACGATTTCTAATCCGGACTCCGAATCTGGACCGATGGATCGGAGAGCCATTTGTATCCTGAAATCGTACTTTTTTTTTCTTGGACCAATCAGCAACAACCTTTGTTGATTCGAACCAATTGAACGAATACGTACTTAACCCGAACAACCTTGTTTCATGCGCGATGTAAACGCAGCGTTCAAAATACATAGCAACTCTCGATTTTTTTGTCCGGCCTCCGGACCGGATCCGGGCTTGATGTGAACGTAGCTTTAGTCTTCCATTTCTACTGCAGTGTAGAATGTGGGGTGTGATCCCTCAAAGATCTACTTACAAAGCCCAATTCTTTTCCTAGTGTATACCAGCCCACCACGTTATATTTTCACCAAAAATGCACCACTGTATGTACAGTACCATACTGTACTGAGATGACATTAATGTCTGCTTCAAACATGATTATGTCACCAATGCTGTTCTCCAAATGGAGTGCTGCATTTCGAAGATTCATTGGCTTTGCCAAATTATGCTTTCATACACAAGGTTTATTCATTATCGTTAAGCATACAGTAGGCCAAACATCCTCCATTTGATATTCAAATCCTTACACAATTCAACTCCTCATTTTGCCTGAACTCACCACATTCTGTTAAAACAAAGTGTAAAAAGACATTAAGAGCCAATACATCTCCTAAAACTCTCCATGTGCCCTCTTGTCACTTGAGGACATGTAGAGAGGTCTTTTCCATTGTTGGCCCAAGCTCTGGGATTACTGCCACAATCTGTTGAGGAGTCTCCCACAATACATGATGTTAAGAGCTATCTTTATTTTTATTTGACAAACTCTAAAATTCCTTCACTCTTCTGTTTTGTTTTTTACTTTCCATCATTTGTGTCATGTTTTTTGCTACTGCTTTCTTTTCCAGTAAATTCATATAGTCTGACATAGCTCTTTTCTGTTTTGTTTTTTTTAATTGAAAGTGCATATAGGCAAAGCATAATAGCAATTGACCATTGACTAGTAAGAGTTTGATTGATTGATTTAATTTATTTATTTTAATATTTGATATACATAGTACAATCATATAATAAAATACAAGCACTCTGTTTTTATGGTTACTGATTTTCCGTACAAAACTTGATTGATATCTGATTTTTTTTTTTCCAAATAACCATATATATTTTACCATAACTTATTTTCATTGTGCAGGTAACAACATATTCACGTCTACTAACAGAAGAAGATTTGGAGGCGCTTGCAGAATCTACTAAGGTAGATAATTCGCACATTACAATGGTCTCTCTACAGGAGTTTCAACATGAGCAACAGTTCTCCCTTAAAATACAGTAAGTACAATTTTCTGTTTTTCGATGAATGTGCTCTCCTAATATGAATACCTTGTGTCACAATTTACCAAAGAATTAATGCTGGAAGAGTGACTGAGAAAACATTTAGTAATGTCAATGAAATGTCTGGATTGCTCTGTGGAACACAGCAATAAGGTGAAAGAAAAGCACATGCGACATTTGTGCCTTACTTCCCAGTGTGAATGTTCCACAGGAACTTCCCACATACTTTACTATGGAAAGAAGCCCTTTTACCATATAAAAACCAATGTCCAGGTAATTTATCTCAACAAACTTCCGGGACATTAAAAAAAACATATACTCAAATTGAGTCATTCACTAGTAAACAAAATTCTGTTTTATTGTTATTATTATTATTATTATGGCAAATTTTAGCATGATAAAAAATGTTAATAAAATCCTAAATAGTTTTTCTATTCTCTGATTTTTTTGGCGACATAGTTTTGGGAACAGCTCTTATATCCTTTTAATAAAGTGTATTATGTGCTGTTTATTTCATTCCCTTATTCATTCATTTATTTGATAGATATATAAACACAATTAAAACTGTATCACCAAAAGTCATGTCGGTGAAGTATTCTCTATCCTCCAAGGCCCCTGAAAGCACACCTGTGTATTGGAGGAGAATATAATACATTAAATAACTTTTTGTGCAGGAAATTCTTTGATGACAATTTTGCACATGAGCGATTACTACTTGTGCAGTGTGATGCTAGCAGTGACAATTCAAACTTGATATCATGTGCCTCTTACCAAGTACAGACTGAGAGGGCTGACAGAGAGAATGCAGTTTCCAAACAAGGAAATAGAAGAGATTTGAGGTACAGGTGTCAAATGGAAGGCAGAGCTCATGTTGTCTTCATTATTCAGCTTCCTCGTGTTAACAGATGTTTTGATGGATTTCAAGGTATTTTGTTTAATTTAAAAATTAATCTTTCAAATACTTTTACCATTATTATCATGCTATAATTCACAAAATGTGGTTTATCTACTGTATGTATGTGTGTATGTTAATCCTCGTCCGTTCAGGTATTGATCGTAACTAAGTATTACCCTGTCAGTGTTTTAAGGAGTGGGAGAAAGGTCATTCAATGTTGAAAGTTATTTCAAATGAAAATATAGAGCCAACATTCAGGATCTTTTCCAACTATCTCACTAGTCGAGAGTAAGAAATGCCATGAGATTTTCTGCTAATAGTTTGGAGTTGAGCTAAAGCTGGGTCAAGATATTTTTCCTTCTATTTTTAGGTGTCTGGTTGATCCCCAGCCATAAAATATGTTAACAATAATAATGATAATGATAATAATAATAATAATAATAATAATAGTAACATTCCCCTTTTTTAAATGGAATGTTCTAGCTGTGGTTGTTGATGTATACTTGTCCAGCAAAAAAGAATTAAATTTGAAAATGTGGGTGCATTTCAATTCTAATAAAAAAAGAAAAAATAACTTATTGAAATCCTATAGCCAATCACTGTCCTATTGTATCACAATTCCTACAGTACTAATTCTCAGGTATCTTTGCTTAAGTGTTTTATAAAAACAAACAATAAACAAATAAGAACAATAAACAAAATTTTTGTTTTCAATGCATTATTTTCTGTATGTCATTTAGGAGGACTTTGGTCATCTACACACATTGATGATCTTCAACCTCCTAAAGAGGACCGACCAGATGTTTATGAGCTAATGGATCGAAAGATGAGTGATTTGTTTACAATTTCCAAGAAAGAGAACCAACCAGGTAATAATCCAGATAAATAGATCACTCACTTATTCACTCACTCATATTTCTTAGCTTTTTTTCAGTAAATGAATTTCAACAATCATATTTAATAGCTGAACTTGCTAGAACCGGTCTACTAACAAATCTTGTTGTTGATGCGTCATATAAACACTAAATTTAAATAGGAGCACTAGCAAAAAGTTTGGTTCTCAAAATTATCAAAGCATAAAAGGAGATGCTTTTAAATCAAGACCATAGCAGTGAGCTTTATAAATATTTTGGCTTATCATTGTTAGATTTATGACGTAAATTACTTTCCTCCTATATTGCCCAATATAACTATAGAGATTTACTCTTTTGTCAGGTTTCTTGCCTTCCGATCTAAAGGTCCAAATGTTAAGGGAGCATAGCGATGAGGAAGTGGAGAGTGACGATGTAATTCATGAAGATACCACTCTAGTTGATTTCACAGCAGTTCTCTTGGACAGTGTTCATCCAGCAACTGCAAGGATTATTGACCCAACCAATCAGAGACATCGCTCAACTGAAAGGGTTCGTCTCCTAGTGGATCTTTTGAAGAAAGACTCTTCTCAACTGGGTATATGATAAATATTTTGTCATTATAAAGTCATTGTTAATTAATTTATAAAACATGGAAAAAAATTGCAATTCTAAATTAATTTAGGGAAATGAGATTGCTAAGTATTTAATGCTGTTTCATTGGATACAGTATATTTTATTGACACAAGTAATAAAACATTATAATATTTATCATCTTTTTACATATAGTATATTATTTATGTAAGAAGTTTAAAAACTCTTCCTTCTATCAGCTACCAGTAGTTTATTCTGGAATTTGAAGTAGAGGGGGCCCAGGGAGGGACTCACAGATGAAGGGTATATAGATGTTGAGGGTATAAAGATCTCAGCCCCACCATTGTTGGGGCTGAGGTAAGAATACGTATGATTATGGTACGTCGAAATGGCCAGGAATGGCACTCTCAGACTTGCATTTGAATATAATTCTCTTTTTTTCTCCATTTTTAAAAATGATTTTGAAAAGTTCAGTGAGTTGGGAAGGATTCAGGCTGACTGGGCCCCTTTCAATCCACCCTGGCTACCTTAAAATGTGATAAATGTGATGATCTAGATATTCCAAATCAGTCTCTTTTGTGTTGCACATGATTTGGTAATATATCAGCAAGCCATGTTGATTCTTTATCATATATATACTATTTCTATATCGAAGTAAATTATTCTTCAATGCCCGATTTGACTTGATCCTCGAATACAAGACTTCTTTTAAAAGTAAAGTTGCATAATAACCTATAGAACTGTTTGGATATCTTAATCTTGACATAATTTTTACAGTTCTGTATTCTATCATTTCTCAAGAATTTCGACATTATTTAAAGCAACACATACTCAAGCTTGTAAAAGAGAAGGAAAACAGATCATACGAGGCTTCTCATTGGCTAACACGCGAGGCACTTGACATTAAAGAAGTTCAAGAAAGTGGCACATTTAGGTCAGTTTGTATATGCAATTTCCATATAAAAAGATTTCTGCATGCATCTAATTTTTTAAAGCATCTAAATTGAATAAAATATCTAAGTCAAGCACACACAGTTAATGCATGCATCTTTGCTCTCTGTGAGTGTTTGATGACGTAATGGTGTCTGCAGATTGTCGATGACAATGTGAGTGGATTTTCATTAAAAACGATTTGTTGTGCACACATCATTGTTTTGCACTCTCCGTGGAATCAGTTGGCCAACGGCCATAAGCATAGTGTGTGCCTAGCTTTAATGTATCCATGTCAAAGTGGTATAAATATACCAATATAGAAACTGATTTCATCCAAACTTGTACAATTGAGAAGGGGATGAAGGTGATACTCTTTTGTCTTTAGGCCTAGTTTTAAAGTGTATGGTGTCTACAGCCTATTTAGACTGACAGGCTAATGAATTAGTTCAGAAAGAGATCTATTTATTCTCAGTGGTATTTTGCTGGACAACTTTAATAACTAAAGTGAATATGTAAAATTATGTATTTCATCAGGTATTTGATTGAAATATAACAGCCAAGAGACAAAGTCCACCATAAATTTTATTTGCCATTGGCAGGCAAGCCAGTGTTATTTTGAATCCTGTTATTTTAGTATTAGTTATAAATAAAGTTGATGTGTGAACACATGGGGTTGTTAAACAGTAAATAATTTTACACCTGTCGCCAGTCTAACACTGTATTTCTAAAAGTACCATCCGAGTTAAGTCCTGACAAAATTTAGTTCCTTAATGTGAACCAGTTTGCTTAGACACGAAGAGACCCTTAGGGTAGAAGCAAGTTATACGAACTAGTCCACACCTTGAATGCTTTGAGACTTTGCTAAAGCGCTATATAATTCCAACTATATTACATTACAACCAAAAATAAGTCCCCTCAAGCCTCATAAAGTGACTTAGTAATTAAACAAGTAGAACACCAAGGCCAACTTGACCAACTTGACCAACTTGACCAACTTGCAAATATTTTGTTTTTATGTGGCCTAACTTTCATAAAGCTTGGTAATAAAAGAGTCTGAGACCTCTGCTACAAGTAGCAGTACTTTATTTCTAGATTTGGATGTATGCATATGCTTTGGCATAGTTTTACACACAAGACTCAGACTTCAAATGAAATATCTTGGGGGAATGAGGCTGCAATATTATTGCTATTTTTGTTTCTGTTTCGTGTTGTTGATGTACATATTTTGTTGCAGTTTATGTTCCTGTTGCACTCTATAAAAATAATTTTGCTCTGTTGCATTAATATCAAAATTGCATTTCTTATCTACATAGACAAGCATGTTGGCAACGCCTAACAGCAACTGTAGCACCATTACTGGCTGAAGTCATTGCCGTTTGCGACATCAGCAACAATCTTAGTCTCCTTGAAAGCCAGGAAGCTGACAAGGCATGGTTGCACCAACTTTGGCTGGACATCTTTTCATCAGAAGATCTCATTACCATCAGCAGTGATTTGTCCCCTGTGCAAAGAGTTCCACGGTCTCAGGTTCCAGTTCTAGGGAAAGGATATGGTGGAAAATCTTTTGAAGCTAGCTTTCCATTTTCCTGGATAATCAAGGCAAAGTTGGATGATATTCAGAAATTTTCCTCTGAATCCCAAGGTTAGACTGATTGTTTGAAAAATAGTGTTATATATATAATTCATATGAGTTTTTATTGGGAATCCATACCTACACTGAAACTAGCCTATATAGATGTAAATATAGTTTCTTTACAGATCAAATCACAAGCTTGAATTTCAAACAGGAAAGAAAATACGATGACTGCTGACTTGAAATTAATTTTAATGATGACACTTAAGAAAGAGTCATTTTTATAATTTAGTGCAAATTTTGAAAGCAAAACTTCTTTCTAACACTTGTGATGCGTGCCAAAGTTTTGATTCAAATGGGGACAAATGGGGTTTTTTTTCCAGAATTGTGTTTAATACTTTTAAAGTATAAGACCATATACATATACATATTAAATGCAGATTATTCCTTCAATGAATAATTGCAAAGGATATATTAATGCATATTCTGTCATTCATTTATTATCATACTTTATATAATGATTATGTTTGGTTTTGGCAGTTGGAGCAGTGACATCATATATTCAGCAGTTTTTGAGGAATGTGAAGTCAGAGATGAGCCAAATTCTCAATGCTGCCATCATAACAGGTGGAGCTCGGGAAGTTGTTTATTGCTACTGCTCAGATTTTATCAATATGAGCTGCAAGATTTCAGAAAATAAGGAACACAAGGTAGATAAATTATTTATTAAGCATAATTTACAGATAGTGATTGTTCATGCGTAGTTTCTTGGACCCTTGCATAATTTATGATAAAAAGATATCTAATATAATATGATATATATTTTTCTTGTTTCCACAGTTAATCTGTGACAACCTAATAAATGCATCTTATTCAATTGTACAAGAGTTGGAAGGAGAAGCTGACAGTGTCGACTATGTTTCTGCTGTGCATTTGGCATTCAACAAGCTCCAAAAGAGGTTTGAGCACTTTTCACAACTTATTGATTTCTACCCAGATGTCTTGGATAGCGAACTAGATGAAGAGGGATTAGATACTGAAGAAATGGTAAGAAGACAGAATATTCTATTAAATCCTAAGATAGTGTATATTTAAATCATATGATAAAGCTATCTTTTTCAGTATATTAGGATTGGTTTAGTTGCAGTGTTGTTGGTGATGACACTGGTGGTAAAGTAGTAGAGTAGTAGTCTATTTCCTGAATACTTACCTTAATTAAAACAGGAAAGTTTCTCACTCGTAAACTATGTCCAACATACCCCTGATGATGTGTTATTAGGCTGGCTGATTGATGTTTGATTGTGAGTATATACTATTCTGGATAAAAGTAGTAAACTATAATATAAAATCCACTTTATATTAGTAGATAATATAATAGTATACTTTATGTAAAATAAAATGAGCACACAGGTCTCCCTCTAATTAAAGACCACTTTTGGGACCGTTGGTTTTCATGGTCTTTAATTAGAATAATAAAAATAAAAGAAATTTGTTAATTTGGGTCTTTAATTGGAGTTGGTCTTTAATTAGAGAAGTTCATAATTAGAAGGAGACCTGAATTTAGAATGTAATATAGTTGAAATATAGTGACAGAACAGTGAAGATAAACATTGCAAAATATAAGGATTAAAAAGATATATTTAGTTTTAGCATAAATTTTTTTAAAAAATCTATATTTGTATATTAGTCTTTTAAATGTCTTGCATTCTGTAGTAGATCCTTCAGATACCAAATAGTTATTCTCTTTTTCAAATTTTGTAGACTTTTGATGTCTCAAGTCTCAAATATGTGTTGAGAGGAATCAGTTGCAAAGATGTCAAATCACAAGATGAACAAAGAAACTGGCTGAATAACATCCATAAACTGTGTCCAGTTGTAAACCGTATGATTGGTTTGTCCAGTAGAAATAAAGAAAATTTTGGACCAAAAAGCCAAAAGATCCTAAAAGAGTGCAGGTAACATTTGTCTTTTTTCACTTAATTCAAATAAGAAATAAAATAATACATGTACATACAACTTAGGTTATATAAATAATTATAATTATTAATTGTATTATTTTATTGCATCCTAATATTTAGCAAAATGATAGCTAAAAAAAAACCTGACAATTTTAATGACAGTAAGTTTTAAGCATTTTCCACTGTTCTCTTAGATGTTTGTGGTCAAGGATAACTGTGATGAAGCTGTTGTATGAGCATGTCTGTTTACCAAATGAAGACTTCGCTAAAATCGTCTCCCCTAAATGCAGAGCCCTGTGGATGGTATGTACTAAACTGTACACCTAAACATTGTTACATACAGTATATTATGTATTTTAGTACCATATACTTCACATAGTTTATGTGATATGTACAAGCATGTGGCTTTGTGCCATATTAGAAAATCTCACAAATGAATTTGAATATCATGCCTATATAGTTGAACCACCCATCGAGAAAGAAAATAATGGAATCTTTATAATGGGAATAATGGAAACTTTAGATAGATAGGCCTGATCGCATCTAGACTAGGCTAGGCCCTTTCTAATTAGATTCTAGGCCTAAGCGGGATAGCCGGCTAGGCTTTGATCTGGTTTGGTCATACATTAAATTATGAAGCCCAGTCTTCTACGCATCATCTATTTTTGTTGTTGCTTTAGGAAAGTTATTCGCTTTTTATCCAAAAATGCCTATATAGTTGAACCACCCATCAAGCATGAAAATAATGGAATCGCCTGTCTTCTATCTTTAGCACCCTGAGTGAGAGGGTGTTTATCCAGATGTATATCTCATTCATACACTAACAACATCACTGCTGATTTGTTAAAATATGGAATACACATGTTGTACAGGTTAAAATAGGGTTTTTAAATCATTTTTATTGAACATATGACCATTATATTTGTGAATAATCAATTTTGTTTTTTTCAGGCACTGAAGACAACCACTGACTTCAAAACAGATACATCTGTTCATATTTTAGTGAATACTCTGAATGTGGTCAACAGGAAGGCTGGTGAAACATACTATAAGTAGGTTGAATGCATTGATTTTAAATACAGTGCTACTTGCATAATGCCCTAGACTAATATTGTACTGAAATACTTTATACCAAATTTTGGTCATTTAAAATGTGTTTGTCATCTTTCTGTTCAAACAATAAAAAGTCTTAAAATGCACTATATTACCTACACCTGAAGAACTGTTTTGGCTTCAACTAGACACAAAATATAGATTGAAATTAGTAGCAGTCCTCACTGATTGAGAATCTGAGATCCCAAGTGAAATTCATTCATCTAAGGGCCTAATTTGCATATTCAATATTGCATCCACTGGGAATATGTTTTAGAAAGCCTCAACATGGTATTAGGTTATGAAAGAGGTTCAATTCAAATTGAAAGTATTTGTTTGTTTTAAAGGTTTGAAAACATTTTCATATGTTTACTAAGTCGCTAATTTTAGTAAATTGATCCACTGATGTCAAATCCCAGGTAAAATTTCCCATTGCTGAGACCAAGTTTGGATTTCCAACAGGTCTATGGGTTTCAACTGGTTCGATTGGTATTTTTAATTGGTCCAATTAGCCTGGTCATGTTATTGGTGTACCCGGGAACTAATTGTTAGCAAAACCTTTTGTATCAAAGCACAAGTGGTGAAAACTCCCCTTCATATCCTGCTTGAATAATGCAAGTTGGGTTGGATTCCTTGGTTGTTGGTCAGATAGCAGCGACCACACCTACATGTTTGATAGAGTGCTTGGATTATAGCTTTTCATAGGGAAGATATTCAAGAATTTGAAAATTGGATTACTACGTTTACTTGGATTTACTGTAGAGATTTAAGCTATAAAGAAAGTCAAACAGATGTCTCTTTTATTCCTTCTTTTTTACTTTGGTAATGCGACTGTTTTGAACAATGTCGTCACACAGAGAAGTAGATTTGTGTAATCTAAAAACCTTGATGTCATAATGATTGTGACAGCAATCTATATTGAAAAACTGCTATGTAATATCCAGAAATTAAAAATTATGTTTGTTATTGAGCATTTTTAATTCTTTAAAATTGATGCTATATATGTACTGTAGAAATGATAAAACATGCCATATTTGACAACTTTTTCTCTCTTAGGAGTGGAATTCATAAATGTAAAATGTGTGAGCAATCCATTGAAGATCCTGTCCTCCTGCCATGTAAGCCTGAACATGTAGTTTGCAAGGAGTGCATCGAAGAATACTTTCAAACAAAACAAACCAAGAAATGTCCAATATGTAAATTTGATTTTTCTCAAGATTTCAAGTGTGAAGTACAGTCTGAAGTCAGGTGAGAAGATAAAGTATAGTCAACTAAGCAGTGGTGGCTCTAGGATATATTTTCTGGGGTGGGGGAGGTCTGAGTTGTCCGACAGGTGGACTTGGGCTGGCAGACCTGAGCTGGGGGAAGGGTTTGAGAGGGTGTTCCCCCTCTCAAATGAGATTTTTTTGAAAATAGGAATAATTGGATAGCCAGAAATGACTCTCTGATTGTGAAAGACGTGTTGGTTTGGCGTGGGCCTATTTTTATATATTTTTTAGTCCGACTGCCCGACGAGCTCTGTCCAATGGGGGCCTTCACCTGCCCGGGGGGGGGGGGCTTAAGCCCCTGCTGCCTGGCGCCGCCACTGCTCTTAAGCCCTGTTCAGACTATCAAATTTTATTTGACAAAATCATGTGACATGCCTAAATATGGTCATGATGACATGACTATGGGCATATAACAGTTTTTTTTGTCAAAGAAAATTTGATATCGGATAATTAGAACTTTAAACTATTGTTCTCCAAATCAGTTGATGGTAATCTGAAAGTACTGATATTTTTCTTCAGCATAACTGAGTTAAAAAAAAAAAAACCTACCTTTTATGTTTTTTTAGTGAGGTAGTTGACAAGCACAATGCTTTCCGTCAGTGCTGTAACTCCTTCTTCATGGAAGTTGTCTCCCAACTCTGCTTTTCTGATGGAACGCCACCAAGTGAAGAGGTTATCAAGAGATTGCTTGGATATGTTACATTGGAATCTAAGAAGAAAAATAAACTGGTCACGAAGAAGGTTTCTCCTTTTCCGGAGGATTGCATCGATCCAAATCCTGTCGTCAGATCATTTTTACTCCAGCTGTTGCTTCAGTCAAAGTGAGATGATTATAATTTAATGATTATATGATGATAATGGCAATGAGGGTGTTCAAACTTTTGATTTTGATGTGGTGGTGATGATGGTTTTATTTGTGTCAGTTTATTTGTATTAGTTTATTTTTTCCATTCTGTGACGGGCCTCCCTCTGTTGAATGTGAATTGAAATAGAATAAAATTCAAAAAAATCTAAATGATAATTATTCTTCAATTATATGTCCACCCTGTTTTTTCTATATTTGTAATTCTACAAATAGGAAAGTATAATAATTTACAAGAATAAGATGACATTTTTTTAATTACTAAATTGCTTTGATAGTCTGGAAACTGTGAAAGAACATGTACAAGAGTATCTGAAAAAGTCCAGAAGCATGCTTGAAGGATATGCTGAAGATGTTGTCAGTCTTTGTACGTTGTTTGTCAACTGTCTGGAGGTAGATATCAATTATTGGGTTTATATGGTGCTTCAACAGTCAATTTTCATTCATTTAATATTATAAACAATAAATACAGTATAGACATTTTTATATATTGCTATACAAGAGCAGTGTCTGCCATCAGAAATATGAACTCAACAAGCTGAAGTGGCAATATGACTTGCAAATAGTCATCCAATATATTATTTAATCTCACAGCACCAAATTTATATAGTAGATCTGCCTTTATACAACAGCATCACCATCATACTTAAACATATTCTCTTTCAGTAATTACATATGACCTTTGTAAAATTAAAATAAATGTATATGTTCCCAAACCAAACACTAATTACAAAAAAAGAAGCATCTCATAGCATGGAGCAATCAAATGGAACAATTTAAGCCCTAATGTCTTCAAATAATCATAACATATTTTCTAAAAACACATTTGTAATATTTAATGACACTGAAGTAATAGTATGAACATTCTTACAAATCAATAATTTTTTTTTTTTTTTTTTGCTTTGTTTTATTTTGTTTAATTCATATTTTCCCTGCCTGTTTTGTACAGTATACTTTGTAGAATGGATTTTCTCCATTTCCATAATTTACTTAGGCATTCTTGGGTATAGATTATATTTTTATTTATATTTAATTAAATTGTAGACTTTTGTTTGCATATTTTTTATATACTTAGGATTTTTGTTATTTTGTGGTGTTTTTTTTTGGCATTCTTTGTAAGTACTGTATAATGATTATGTTATGTATTTATCCTGTTTAGTTTTCAGTATGTACTTTTGCTTTTGTACAACCATAATGTACAGTAATATTATAAAAGGAACGTAATTGTAAGGTGTCTCACAGCCATGATGAAAAACAGCATGTATTTGTTGGTTTGTGTTTCTTGAATAAATTAAAGTTTTACTATTCAGCTGCCATTAAAAGTAAGGGACACAAGGAGTTAAGTAGTAGCCTGTTAAATGTTCATGGTAAAGTCTAGGATCTAAAACACTTTGCCAAAAACTCTAAGAACTCCTGCTTTTAATCAGCACTAAACTTTTAGATGTGCCTCTTCCATGTAGCTCAAATGAAACACTGAACTAAGTATTCATATTTAGCTAGTTTTGTGGGACCGAATGGTGTAGCGTTTTTTATAGGCACTCTTATGAACAATGTAATAATTCAGCACTTTGAGTGCCACCAATATTTTCAACACACTCCAGAATCTAAACAAGGCAATTTATTTATTTATCCTGGATAAGAGTACCTTTAGCCAGGATAATAGTACAGCTACAATTAATCCTTGTTATTATTCTCTTATAATTTGGTCCTGGTAAAACATTAAAAGCATCAAAGTAAAGTTAAGTTTTAGATAACTTAGTATGAAACATACTCCAAAAAACTTGTCACTGTGATTCAATATTTTGATCTTTTATTAGATCATTGTCATTAATGATGATGAGTCTTACGTTATTTGGAGTATGTTTTATACTAAGTTAAAATATAAAGTTACTAAGATAATTTTATCACCGCAGTATCCCCTAGCTAACATTTTGAATTCTATAAAGAAGTGAATTAAATTGTTTTTTTTTTTGTTTTTTTTTAACAAATCCTGTTTCAAGGACACATACTACTCAAGATGCCCTCAAGACCCCAAACAGATCCATATGCTCATTGATGATGCTCATGGGAAACTAAAAAATGCTGGACACTTTTTTAGTAGACAAAACTTCACTAAAGATCCTTTAAGTGTTGAGATACTTGAAGCAATATCGCAGATTCGTTTTGCATTTTCAACTCTAGCTGACATCATGCAATGCCAACAACAAGATGATGAACGCTACAGCACACTCAACATCAAGCGTCTTGTAAGTTCAAATTGATATAGAGTATCTTTATATTTTAGTGGTTTTAGTTTTCATTTTGTACTGAAAAGGGTGAACAAAAATCTCACAAATAGATAAGTAATGTATTTTTAAAAAACAGGATTGAGAGTTGAATCTTTGTATTTATGTAGGTTAATATGCTGTCAAGGGAAGCTAAAGTAGTCTGTCAGCAGAATAAACAAGCTCAGTTGTATCTTGTGAAGTACATCTGCAGGGCCTATGGCAGAGATGCTCTAGCATGTCTGAAGGATGACAGACAGTTAAACTGGATCTTGCCAGATGAGTTGAATGTTCAGGTATGAATGGCATATTTAGGGAGCTTTTGATTTGTGTGACGACTCGATGTTAGAATGGAATCACTCATCCGTGATGTCATTACTTTCTCCGTCCTACCATCGCCGTGCAATCAAAAGCTCCTTACTAATTACCTTCTAAAATAGTAAACAAGAACAGTCACACGATAATTAAGGCAATACTTCCACCATACAACTTCATTTATGTGATTATTTACTTTCCATCATCACCTTGACTTCGGGATTTCACCCTAGAATGTAATCACATTATTTTAGACCAATACGTTATTCTCCACTTAATTTTATGATGAACCATTCATTAGTTTTTGCATAATCTGCCAATAATCAGAGAGATAAACAGTGGTGAATATGATACTGTACTCTTCATGGCAATGAACTTAAGCCCTGCCGTTTGGATATAGTTCCAAAGGCCCACAAAAATTACTGTAAAAACATATGCAGCCACATGTGTTTCTGGCCCTTTCCTGATTGGTCAGTTGTTAAGTTTGATTGACACTCTGGAAAGGTCAATTACATGAGCTTATATATAAATTAAGCAACACAGTAATGCAATAATGGATTTCTCATGTTGTTCACATTTTCAATAGACATACAGTTGAAGGATAAAAGAGGACTCAAAATTATTATGGTTTAATTTTTTGACAATGTTATTTAATGCAGAGGCTCTTCCTAAAAAATAAAAATGAGTTTATTTATTAGCCTCCCCAAAGGAGGAGGCTCTGGGGAGGCTATTGTTTTTGCCTGTGTTCTTCATGTTGGATTGGATTTTAATTATTCGGTGTATACACCAACTAAAGCCAACGAAAGTCTAGAAGAAGACTCCAGTGGGGTCCTTCTGGTGGTGATTAGGCAGTTTACCGGGAGACAATCCCCTACTCTTTTCCGAAGAGTGTACTGCATTCCTCAACGTGCACATGGGCCATAAATGCACACGGGACCAACGGCTTAAACGTCTCATCTGAAAGACAGTGCGCTATTTTAACTTGTATTTCTGATCTCCAACTGAAACACAAGGAGAGGCAGCGATGGGAATTGAACCGGGGACCTAGAGATCTCCAAGGTTCAGCGCACACACAATGGACCACCAGATTTAGCTGTTTAAGCTAAGCTCATCTCATTGTCGTCATTGTCACTGTTGTTGTTGATCATTTGTTTGTTATCACGATATCTAGAGTTTGGTAAAAGTCCAATTGGTTTCAAACTTGGTAGAATGCAAGATGGTAATAAGAAGACAGAGCCTATTGTTTTTGGTACATGTGTAAATATGCTAATTGTTCATTTGCATAATAAATATTTATCAATCGTTTATCTTAAACAGGACCAGTGCATTCCAGATAATTATGTTATCATTGGAGAGATGTACATTAACATTCGAGAAGCTATTGGACAATGTATGGTGGACAAAGATTTTGAGAAGATGTTCAAAGCTGTGAAAGTACATATATATTTTTATCTCAATGTATTAACTGTACTAGGTATGGTTTATAAAAATAGGATAAGCTGGTTTTCCTTCCATCTTATTGCAGCCCAACTGGAGGTAATGCATTTTAAAAGAGAAGTTTACCAATTTTAAAGGGAGGGTGGGTGGAGGGATGAGATAACTTGCCATACTTTGCTTATTCATCCTTTCGTATATTAAGGAAAAGTAAACAAATTCTTCAGATGTAACAATAATATTAGAAACAAAATACGAAAATATGATATGTTGAGACATAAAAATCATGTGAAAACGAGGCTGATAACTTTTTTCAGTAGCTTAGTGGTACTTTTCTAACCAACTCATTAATCAGAAGTGATTTAGTATACTAAGTTACATAATAAATATCTAAAATTGCGAATCTTGTGCCCATAGCCACTCTAAACCACATTTGTTATTAAACGTTGCAAAGTGCATCACCCCATCCCAGTTGAGCTAATACCAAAATTTCCATCTCATGAGTACTGCTGCAAATAGATAGACTACAGCAAATCTATTATAAATATATGAAGAAATTCATGTTTGTTCTACAATATTAAAATGTAGGAGTAACTGTAAACACCTGTTATTATGAGAGTTTAGCTCTGTGACCTGCTTAGAATACCACAATGTCTTTTAATAAACAATAGTAGTAGTTTTTACAAAATTCTTTCTAGATGAGAAAAAGAAATTTCTCGGCATTTACTTAGTGCATATAAATATAGAGCAATTTTTAGTATCTACTATTAATAGGAATATTTTCTACGAGTTATCATAGGATTTTATCTTTTGACAATATAAGTATATATAGTTTTTTTAGTTTTTTTTATGTGATTCCAAAACCATTGCTTTTCATCCTTAGAATGTGCAGGGAAAGAAGGAGGACAAGGAGGCATGCTTGCTTCTTGCTTTATTCAGAGAGATCACAATGAATGCAGCAACAACTGTAGAGGCCAAAATCATTAGTTCAGAGGTAATAAACTCCCCCATCGACAAATAATATCCCTGTTAAAAAATCCAAATGGTCACCAGTTTGTTTTTCACACTTGCAGATACTGCATACAATTTAGAGCTTGTAACATTTTGTGTATAAAAAGTACTTTTTGTCGTTTAAGATACTTAAGAAAAGGGCGTATCACATTGATCTCTATTTTAACATGTGTCGAATAGTGTTGTATTGGTATACCATAAAGTTAGAAATCAATTGCCTCCAATCGGATTCAAACCTAAAATGAAAACCTCAGTGGCCTAGTTGCTAAAGGCATCTGCAGAGACTGCAGAAGGTCCCAGGTTTGAATTTCTATCACACTTGCAAATTTTATATTTAGTATATACTGAATATATATTGAATATGTTAATAGAATTTTTATTTGTTTTTAATGCTTTAGGTGAAAATAAAGTTTGGAGAAGTCATCCAAAAAATTCCATTCCTGAAAAATAAGGTGAGTGTAAAGTATCATATACAGAGTGCAACTAAGTATGGACTATAAATATTTACAAAATTATTGCTGAAATAGGAAACACCAAATACAATGCTGCGCTGATTACTACCATTTTTACTAAAATGTAGGTAAAAGCATGTTAAAATATTAAAATATTTAAAAAATTACATTAAATATTAATAGCAGTATTTGACTGTAGTTATTTAAAGTTAAAAATTACCTCGTTAACATTTCATTAAATTGTGTCATGGCAGATGAAAGAATTATTGATATTTCTGATTTTGTGTGTGTTCCATCGTGGATATATTATGCAACCTGTTTTGCAAATTCTAATAAATTGATGGAGTGGATGATTTGTGTCTGATAAAATTACTTTAAATTTATTGTTGATTGTAATGCCTACTACAGAGCCAACCTCTTTAATTTTCTTACCAATTACTCTTTTATCAATTTTTCTGATTATTTATTTTATTCATTCACTTAGTTGACTTAAGTTATTAAAACAAACTCTTGCACAAAAAGTTAAAACAAACTGATCAATCGTATGAGTTTTGAAGATGGCTTATGGTTCGCATTGTGGTGCTTCATCAAACTGCTCAAGAATAGAAGCAATGAAAATACAATGAAATCCACATGCTAACAAAAATATTTCTACAAATTTATTTTTCCGAAGAAAACTACTGGACTGCAACACAGCAAAATTTATGTTAGAGGCTAAGTAACATTCATAGAATATTCTAATGTGCTACCCACTTAAAGTATTTATTGTTAAGTCATCATCATCATCATCATCATCATCACCATCATCATCTTCAGATCATCTTCATGATCAATACAATAAATGAAAACTTTCTGATATTTCACTTCAATTCTATTTCCACTATCACCAAGACATCATGCTTACCATGAAGGATTTTTTTTTTGTAAAGGGGAAAGATGTTTTATTTTATTGTCTAGCTATATGAAGTGCAGTGTAAAGATGAGATTTTCGATAAAGGCATATTACATTTTTTTATGGTTGGAGGCACAAGAGATTGTCAAAATGCAGTGTGTATAATTGTTTTTTTTTTTATTTCAAAAAGATGAATATCAATTAACTTAATTAGGAGCTGTCATGATCCTGTTACAGTATATCTACACACACAACTTTTTGTTTGATATTTCTTGGCTGTTATAAATACATTAGCAGAATGATACATTTGTATTATTTCATCATTCAGGCTGTTGCGGATACTTTGGTTCAAAACAGAGGACAAAATCACCACCATGTTCTTAGGGTCAATCCAGAAATGCACCTTCTAGACTACAGCATCCAGGCGGCTGTGACCCATCTTCAAATTGTTCTTAATGTAGTTAAACAGAAGCCATTGACACAGTGTCTTGCAAAATTGATGAGAATACCTTCTGAAATGCAGGTTTGATTATTCAAGATTTTTTATTTCTGGCAGTTGAAAGTGATGTCACAAGACATTGTGAAAGGCACATTTGCATGTTAAAAAGAATGAATCTTTAGAATAATATTCAATCTTAAGATATCTTAATTGCATTGAGAATTTGCCTTTTTTCACATTTTAAGAAAAAAAAAAACACATCGTCAATACATTTACTTGGATGCACATATATATTCCAATTTTTAAAATATAATTAAATAATCGGTTCCTGATGGTTCATTTAACAAATAGGCATTATGTAATTAGCTGTATAACCTTCTACTTATGTCTTCTGCTTCAGTGGACCTCTCTGGAGTGTTAATCATATTTATCAATTGACCAATCAGAACAGACGGCCAGGAATACATGCTTGTCCCACGCACACACACGCACACCCACACATCTACTCACATGACCTACACACATGAACTAAACACATGTTGTCTCACAGATGCACAAGTATACATACATTAGCACCATCATTTTGTGGGACTTGCAACAATATTCAAGCGATTTCCAAGTAAATGTCCATTATAATTGAGGTCTAATGACCATTTTTGTTTTCCAGCAAGCTTATTTACCAGCAATGCCACAAGATGACAGCATGGAAGCCAAAGCAGTGCTTCGTCGAGCGACAACAGATCATAAATTAACTTGGTACAGTAAGTACACTAGATATTAGAGGTGACAAGATACAATGAGAAATGAATTTGGAGACACAAAAGGATTGAGAAGAAGAGAAATTGTTCAGTATCAGAGAGAGTATAAAAAGTAGAGAATGATGATCACATAAAGAATTTTGGAAAGAGAATTAGAAAAAAAAAGAAAAGTGTTAGTTCACAAGAACAATATCCAATTTTAGCACTACAACGATACATTGAGAATTAAGTGGAAAAATAACTTTACTGCTGTTTTAATTGTTTAATTTAAAAAATAACCCTGGTCTAATGTAATCGTAGTGGATTTGCATTGAGAGACCAGTTCTGGCTTTCTGAATTGAAGGAGAGTGGGCATTTACACCCTCTGGCTACCACAGTATCTGTAGATTTGTGTAGTCTAATTTTTTAAATACATTTAATACATTGATGATCCGACTTGCTGAAATGTCAAAGGCTCTCAGCAGGATTGACAAACAAAAGGCACTTATAGCCACCTGTACTTTAGAATCCAATTGAAAAAATTTCTTTACCAAAAATGTGTGTAGAATATCAGTCAGAAGAACACCTGAGACAGAGCCCAGAAGCAATGGACATCTCCAGGATGTCAATCAAACTTAATGACTGACCAATTAGAATAGGGCCAGAAATATACACAGGTCCTACAAACACGTGTTTACATACATTTACTTTATTGTTTTGTAGGACATTAGTAAAATTCTCCAAGGGGCAAGGCTTTTCGGATAGCTCCATAATTGTTTTGCATGATCTTGTGTATGTGAGTAGTAGGAACGTTGATTAGGCATACAACTGTTTATGATAATGCTTATAATTAGGATCATGGTAGGATGATACAAGCTCATGCAACCATGAGATTGATGTTGTAAATATGATTTTTTTTCTAATTTGAGACCAAGTGAGGGTTACCTGTACCTTTGTGTTTAATAAATTGAAAATTTTTAGTTACTTTGTTAAATTAGGAAGTCTCAGATTTCTTAAATTGGAAGACAAACTGAAAATGAGAAATGGCACTCTGCTATTAAGGGAAATGGCACTCTGCTATTAAGGCTAAAAGCGGTTGGCGCAAAAGTTGTCGCTCGCACGTTCAACCTTGAGGTCGGGGGGGTTCGAAATCCTTGCTGTGCAATTCGATTTTGTCCCTAGCCAAGACACGTATCTACATTTGTCTCTTGATCTCCACCCAGAAGTATAAATGGGTATACCGGCATATGCTGGGAAGGTAAAACAGACTGTGCGGGAGGAGTGGCGAATCCCCTACAGCCTTGCAGAGTCTGGCCCAGTCGCCAAGGAAAGAAAGACGGGCACTCCATAGCCTGTCAGCCCAGAGCTTCAGGTTCCAACCTTTTGTTAAGATGTAGTGCAGCTTCAGGGCAAGCACTGGACACCACAGGCCAGGTGCAGAATCTAAGAATGTGTGTCTCACATTATTAGGCATACTTTTTTTTTTCATTATTCCAAATTTGGAATTAGAATATTGGAACCTGTTATATTGTTCCTATAATTATATCAATATTATTTTATCAAATATTTTTTATTTCAAATTTATAGAATGTCCACGTGGTCATCTCTATACCATAGGAAATGTGAGTACATTTTCACAAGAAAAGGTTAACCTGAGCAAGGAAGATTTCTTAAGCATTTAACATAAAATAATCAATTAATTAAACTTGCAGTAAAAGTAAAATTACTACTGCTACTAGTGTTGCTACTACTACTGTTGTTGCTGCTACTGTTACTACTACTGTTGTTACTACTGCTGCTACTTTTGCTACTGCTATGTTGCTGCCACTGTTGCTAATGTTAGTATTGTGTCTACTACTGCTGATACTGCTACTGCTGTTGTTGCTGTGCTATTATTGCTGCTGCTACTTCTGCAATTGTTAATACTGCTACAACGCTGCTACTATTACTATTATACATATATTTTATATATTTGAATAAACATCTCCCTTGAATAAGAGCCGAGTAGAATGGCTGAGCGGTTAAGGTAGAGGACCGCAACCTACAGCCATAATATCAGCGCTGGTTCGAACGGCACACTCGCCTATGGCTCAGGAAGTAGAGCAAGTCTTCTCGAAAAAGGACTATAAACCATAGGCCCAGTGGCTCATGTGCACTATAAAGAACCCAGTGCATCTTTCGAGACAAGTAGAGGGTTACCCCGGTGTACTGGTCCATCTCACAACCCCAGCTTTCATCCAAATGCTGAACAGGCTTTGATTAGTATCTGCATAATAGAATAATGCCCCCTCGAGAGTCTTATTTGGAATATACACCTCCCTCAAATAAATGCCCTGTGGCATTAATTCTTTTCCCTCGAATAAACGCACTCTCCCCCCACCCCCAGGACTGCAAACATAACTATTCTATTCTATTAATGTTGTACCCCAGTACAATTGCATTTTGGTTTAGATCAATTATCATAGTCTTTATAAACATATTTTGACAGTAATTATACTTGAATATATACTGTATATCTATATC